ATTGTGATATATTGTGATACTGTGATACAAGCCGATATATTGCAGTTTTGTTTAAATGTAAATGAGTAGTGAGATCTGCATTTCTATTGATCGCAGTCCATGTAACATCCAACATCATAGCCCTAGTTTCCAACACTGCTATATAGCGGTAGGAGATTTAAATATAAAAATCGATACAGTGTTTTTCCATATAATATCACAAAACAAAATATTACAATATAATATGTTTTGATATGTTCTTACACCCCTAACACAAGGTTTCCATTGCTTTATGTCTCCAGTTTAGGATGGCAGATTCAGGCTCAGGTGACCCCAGTGCTCAACGTGTGCCGGCCCCTGGAGGGAGCAGTGCGGGGATGCTGATGGGCCGTCGACCATCGTCCGCCATCTCTCCAGGCCGTCTCCCGTCAATGCGATCTAGAGACCTCACCCTGGGGGGAGTGAAGAAGGTAATGTCACATTTACAGAGAATCTACAGAAAATCAAATGCACAACCAACTCTGTTATTTCACTCATCTAATTATTGCCTGATTTTGTAATTGTTCCCATACTTAATCCCTATTTTTGTGTTTTATTTTTTAGAAAACCTTTACACCCAACATCATTGGGCGAAAAGCCAAAGAGGAGTAAGTTTATATTTGGCTTTAAAACAATAAATATGTCAGAGAAAAGATTTTTTGGACTAATAATTTAGTCTGTCGCAACAGAACAAAAGTTGACAGCGGGCAGAGGAGAGACAGGAGGGATGGAGATCGAGGTCGAGGTCCGAGAGATAGAGGCAGGGGCCGAGGTCGCCCAGAGGTCATCCAGTCCCACTCTATCTTTGAACAGGGGCCCGCGGAGATGATGATGAAAAAAAGAAGTAGGATTACATTTGGATAACCACTGCTTTTTTTTGTTTTTTAACCAATGTAACTACTACACCACACATTCGTAAATGATTTTGATCTAAGTGAATCCATGTATCACACACAGCTGGCTATGAAAATGAAAGAGATGCTCCGAGCGTGGGACCCTCACCCATCATCAATATTAAAAAGGAGAAGCGAGAGACGGAGGAAGAGACCAAAGAGATTCTGCGCAGTCTGGAGAGAGACAATGCAAGTCCCTCAGTTGTCAGCCATCTTTATTAAGAAGCTTTATTTCACATTTTATATTCATTTAACTTTCCTTTCGTATTGTATTCTTTCAGTTTATAGACGATCCCTTCCTGAGGAGTGAGCAGAGGAGCTGCCCTGTCCAGCTCCCCCTCGCTGTATCAGGATGGGGGTTCAAGGAGGAATTTACTACTGCTGCTGTTAAAATAGAAAAAGTGGAGGATGGTGAACCCATGGAATCCACAGTTGAAGGTAACTGCAGACTTTTGTCATTTTGATTCCACTTGTTTCATTTTTCTTGGGGGGGAGGGGGGGGAGTGTTTA